TTATTCTTGTTTAAAATTTTAAAAAAACTTACTAAAAAAAATTTGCTTGGTTTCTATTGACTCAACCCCATATATTTAATTTTAAAAAAACTATTTGTCATAAAAACTTAAAATTTTACAATTATCAAAATTATTAACTTTTTTAATTTGCAAAAATAATTGTCAAATTTAAAAGGTTTAATTTATCTAAAAAACAACTAGTATTTATTGCTGTACTATACAAATTTATAAACAGTATATTATCAAAAAAATTATTACGTATTAAATCATTGTATACAAATTGTATACAATGATTTAATACGTAATATCAGGATTAAACTCGCCTTATTGATACCTCAAATATTTGCTTACAGGTTTTGCCTTGGCAGCACTCATTAGTATTGTAAGGGTAGAGACATTTATCACCTGATTTTTTAGGAGAGTGGCAGGGACCCGTAAAAATTTGGATATCAAATTACAGATCTTTATTTGGATATCAGCAAATATTTGAATAAATTTGGATAATGTTTAAAATCGTAAAAAAAAATTTATTATTATTAAAATTTATATTGATTGAATAAAATTTTTAATGAGTTTTCACTTAAATTCTGTCTATAGTCTTCTAAAAGATTATTGTAAACAGAAAAGCCTCTCTCAACTAGGGATGTTACGGTCCGGTCTTGGTCCTTGACCGTGGTCCAGGACCGGTCCATAAACCGGTACATAAATCGGAATTTTAGGTGCATTTTTTTAGGTTAGATTAGAATTCATGTTAGAGTTATTAATAAAAGTATATATGGACTTTAGTAGGTTTAGTAAACCTAAGAGACGTTCAAAAAAAAAGCTATCGAAAGATCAACCATTTTTTTTATTGGTCGGATCACATGTATAAACGTTGAATGAAAAAATTTGGAAATTTGGAAATTCGATTGGTCAAAATTACGGAGTAGATCAATTTTTTGTGGGTTGGGCTCATAGACGTGTGCGCGTTTAACTAATGCTAAATATTCAGGTTCGTTTTTTTTTTATCTTACTTTTAGTTAGTGTACACTGTTATGATGATATCTTTGGTAACCGGAAACAAAAATGGTCACAATAACCGTACCTCGACAGAATCTTAGAGTTGTCTTTCTCAAAAAGGCAACCTATTCTAGTCTTGCTAATATAAAGTTTTGTGACTGAAGACGAAAAATAGGCGAAGCTGAAATGGCTCTTTAATATTGTGTTCTAGAAACTTATAGCACAACTCTTTAAATTAATAATTCGTAAAATATTACTCCTTTTTTTTTTTTTTTTTTTTTTATGTGTAGATTCTGAATAATTCGACATTTACCATAGCTACAAATATTTTATCCATTTGTCCATAGTAACATAATGGCAAAATCAAAATATGAATACGTAAAAAAATTTGAAAAGAATGACTCTCTTCTTCCAAATACGTGGTTGGTGATTCGTGTAGACGGTCGTGGTTTTCACAAGTATGACATATTTAAATTTCCTTATCATCGGCTTGTTCATGTATTTCGATTAATAGACACTCTTTTGAAAATAGGTTTTCGGATAAACATGGGTTTGTAAAACCAAATGACCAAAAAGCTTTGGAACTTATGAACAAGTGTGCAGAAAACGTCATGAATGACATTCATGATATTGTCTTAGCATACGGTCAAAGTGATGAATATAGGTAACACAAATTTTACTAACATAATTTATTATTTCAACAAGAACGACAAACATATTAATGAATTGTTTACTTTTGATTCGATAAAAGTTTTGTCCTTAAAAAGGAATGTAATCTATATGATCGGCGCGAGACGTAAGTAACACTGGAATGTTTCCAAATTATTTGATTTAATAACGAGCTTTTTTATAATAAATAATAACGGTCATAAAATATAAAGAAAGATTGTTTCGACTGTCGTTAGTTTGTTCTCATCGAATTATGTATTTAATTGGAATAAGTATTTTCCAGACAAGGAATTACTTTATCCGCCTTCATTCGATGGCCGTGTAGTTCAATATCCAGGCGATAATAATTTGAGAGATTATTTAAGCTGGTGGCAAGCAGATTGTAAGTCAAGCTTTTATTTCGCCAAGTCAAAATAATAAATTTCTTGACATTTTTCATAGGTCATATCAATAACTTGTATAACACGTGTTTCTGGGCCCTGGTTCATTCTGGAAAAACTGAAACTGAGGCTGAAAACGTTCTGAGAGTACGAAAAATATAATAGCAAATGATCTCTTCTTTGACTTTGACAGTTGCTAACTTTTTTTTTTTTACAACAAAAAGGGTACAGTATCTTCAGAAAAGAACGAGTTGCTATACTCACAATTTAATATCAACTACAATAAATTACCGGAGATGTATCGAAAAGGCTCAGTATTAATCAGACAAGAGGTAAGTAATTTGAAATGCCACTTATACGTAATTTATTTGGGGACCTTATCTATACGCAGCTCATTCTCGTAAAGACTAATTAAAGTCTTGATACAATGGAATTTAAAGTTCTCTCAACATCTGGGGTGAGTCAGTAAAAAATGCACCAAATCTTTTTTAATGGAAATTTTTTAAATCTTTAAACAAAAATAACTCAACGAAAACTTAATCAAATTTAGTAATTTTTTTTTTAAGTTTTTAAAAAAATTTTATTAAATTTGATTAAGTTATTATTGAGTTATTTTTGTTCAACATTTTAAAATTTTACTTATAACAAATTTGGTGCGTTTCTACTGACTCGCCAGGACTCCGAATAATTCTAAAAAAAGGTGATATTAAAACTTGACATTTTTAGGCCAAATTTTATATTTTAGCCCAGACTTTCTAAATTCTGGCCAAAATTAAATTTTTATTTTTATTTTGACCAGAATCCGATTTAATAATACCACCTTTTTTTAGAATTATCCGAGTTCTGACTCATCCCTATATATTATACAGTGAAAATTTTACTAATAGACTCACTGTAATGAAAGTGAAGTGTTATGCTTAATTTTGATCAATTGGATTATTACAGGAAATTACGTAATGAATGACATCCCTTACCATTTATTAAATCAAATGTATTTATTGATAAAATGTAGGTAGAGATGAACACTATTAATCAAAAGGGTTTAGATGTTATACGTAAAAAAAATATTGTTATAGTGTCGCATGAGGACATAATAAGAGATGAGTTTTGGAAAAAGAATAATACAAAATTAGGATTAAATTTTTAGAAATCACGCACATAATAGAACGACACTCCTTCGTGCATATTCTAATTTTGGTATGAGTTAACACATCAGTGATGTTTAATACCCAATTTAATATTCAGCACAGACAAAATCAGACGAATATTTTTTAAATACTCGGTTCTGACTTGAGAATATGAATCTAATCAGATCTAAAACTTTAGGCCCAAATCTGATTCTGATTCTCTGGATCTGGGAAATATTTTAATTACAAATGTGATTAAGCAAAAAGGTTCTTTTCAAGAATACAAATTATGAGTACTAACAGTAAATATCATTAGATACTAAATATTATTAATTGACGGGTCATATAGTAAGAAATGGATGTTACAAAGAAAAAGCCCAGGCTTTATATTTATTGATTATTGAACTTAAGAAGTGTGTTTTGTGAATAATAAATTTAAAATCTGATGGCAGATTTACCTTTGGCAGTTTCAAATAAGGGGATCGTTAACTTTGCATATCCCGGAGATTTTAATATATCACTAGTAGAATTTGAACTCTATTTTTAATTACAAAAAGCTTGGAAGTGATAACCAACTAACTATACTAAATTACTATCCCTTAAACCAGTGCTGGTAATTGGACATGTCCAATTAAATTTTTTAATTGGACAGTTTTGGACATGTCCAAAACTGACCAAAACTATTTAAAATTTTTTAAATTTTTTTTTAACCTTGATCGAAGATATCTCAGTATCCACCTAACCAAATTTGATTTACTTTTTTTCTTTGAATTATACAGCTTTTTATAATTAAAATAAAAAAAAGTTGATCTAATTTGGTCAGGTGGGTGTTGTGATATCTTTGATCAAAGTTTGTAACCAATTTTTGCTGCAATTTATATTTGATAGACATTTAGAATTTTATAAAACAAAGCTTTGATCTAAGATAACTCGGCATCTACCCACCCAAATCCATTCAACTTTTTTTTATTTTAATTATAGAAAGCTACAAAATTTAAAGAAAAAAAAGATGATCGAATTTGGTCAGATAGGTGCCGAGATAACCTCGATCAAAGTTTGTAAACAACTTTTGCCGCAGCTTATATTTGATAGATGTTTAGAATTTTACAAAAACATTTAATCAAAGATATCTCAGCACCCACCTGACCAAATTCAATCAAATTTTTTTCTTTGAATTCTGCAGCTTTCTTAAAATAAAAAAAAGATAATCGAATTTGTTCAGGTAGATGCCGAGATAACTTTGATCGAAGTTTGTAAACAACTTTTGCCATAGCTTATATTTGATAGATATTTAGAATTTTACAAACTCTTTAATCAAAGATATCTCGACACTCATCTGACCAAATTCAATCACTTTTTTTCTTTGAATTCTACAGCTTTCTATAATTAAACCAAAAAAAGTTGATCGAATTTAGTCAGATGAGTGCTGAGATATCTTCAATCAAAGTTTGTAAACAATTTTTGCCAAAGCTTATATTTAATAAATATTTAGAATTTTACAAAAACTTTGATTG